ACACAGGGCACGGCGAGGGGGTGCCGAGCCTGCGGCAGCGGCGGCAAGGAGGGACGCCCTGCCCCGGGGAAGGCAGCGCCCGACCCCCAGGTCCTCCAGGAGCACGCGGCTGCCCGTGGGCTGGGGAGGGGGTTGGCAGAGCCCCGTAGCTCTCGGGGCTTGAGCGCCCCCTTCAGGCTCCTCCCTGCAGAGCAAGGGCTCCCCGCAGAGCCGACCCGGGAGACTCCTATCGGAGGCTGTGTATGCCCCGAGGAGGTGGACCCCGCCCTGGACACCGCGGACACCTCAGACAGCTGCAGACCCGCCAGCGAGGAGGCTGGGACCTGTCAGCCCAGCGCGGCCCGCGGCAGCAGCCCCCGACTGCACTGCTCCAGGCCGCGTGGAGGCCACAGGTGGTTCCTGAAGGCTGAAAGGGAGCCCCCTGGGAGCCCTCCGGCTCCGCACTGCCTGCCCGGGGTGGATCTCCTGGAAGTTTCAGATGAAGTGAAAGAAGGCAGAGGACACGTGCCTGAGGGGACTCTGTTCCCCAGAGAAGACCCTCTCTCCAAGCCTCCTGTGCAGGAATCTGAGAGGGCCTCCTCTGGGTCCCAGGGGGAGCTGCAACCAGGACTGAGAAATCACTGGGCTCCCTCTGTGGATTCCTGGGCTCTGTGCGGGACAGCCTGTGCCACAGCCTCGCTCATGAAGCTGGCATCCTCCGGGCCAGGCAGACAAGACCAGGTTATAGAAAGCCACAAGTCTCTGGAAACTGTACCCCTGCAACAGAGCCATACAGAGCCCTCGACCCCACACCAGGCCCAGCAACCAACCCCTTTCCTTTCCCCTGAAGGCTGGATGCCAACTCCTCCTCCTTCCAGGAAAACCACTTCACCTGGGTCTCACAGGAAGGCACCTCACAGGCCAGGTGACCAGGGAGAGACTGTGGACACCCCCCTGCCTCCCTCAGGAAGTATGGTTCCCAGGACCTGTGAGCTCAGCCCCCCACAGACCCAGCCCTGCAGCCTCCAAGTCAGGCACCCACTGCTCGGCCTCTCCACCAACAACTGCAACAACAGCGTGCCTGGGGGGCTGCAGGAGTCCTGGGGAGGCGCCATGCTCGAGGGCAGGGTAGAGAAGGGTGCCAGCCACCAGGAGCCTGAGGCACCCCTGGAGAACTGCAGAGATGGTAAGGAATTGCCCCGGGTCTGGGGCAGTCCTAGAGCTGACACACCCTTCTCTTACTGCTCATATTCATAGATGACAGCCACGCACCATTCCTAGTAGCTCCTTGGAGCTCCCCAGATCAATGGCAGGTGTCAGGGAAGCTGGCAGGGTCTGTGGGCTGGGTGCAGGGTTCAACATCAGCCTAGAGGTGGGTTAACCAACTCCCCCTGGGGAGGAAGAGCATGGGGAAGTGGTGCTGAAGCCTCTTAACCCTGAGGAGTATATAGAAGCTCCAGTGGCTACTGGAGGCCTGGGCTGCAAGGGAGTTATACCATCAGCAGAGCAGAGACAGGCAGCAGCTTTAGGATTTACTGTTTGCTTCGAGTAGTAAGTACCAAAATACCCCTTCAACATCATTCATTCATTCATTATTGATTGAGCACCTGTTACATGCCAGGCACTGTACTAGACACTGTGGGAAATCCTTGAGACCTTCTGTGGCCAGGCACAGACATGCTGTCCAGAGGACACAGTGACCAGCAGGCAAAGCTCTTACAAGGAGTGCTGGGATTGCTCTCTGGCACATGAGCCTCCCAGACACCGACCCTGCTGGGCAAGCTGGCATGTTTCAGCAAGCAAAGGATATAGGATATCACCCCTTGGAAGGGGTCCTCATAATGTGGGCAAATCCTGGCCATCAGCAGCCTCAGCTCTGAGCCCCCATTTGTGAGCTGAGATGAGCACCTCAGCCACTCACTTTTAAGAAGACATAGGCCCACCCCACACAGCCTGCTTTAATGTGCCCACAGCTCTGGCAGCCCCAGGGCTGGGCTGGCTCAGGAGGGATCTAGAGCTTGGACACAGTGGAGAAGGAGAGGGCAGACAGACAACAGGCCATACTGATGTTACTGAGGATGTGGATGCCAAGACTCCCCCCCACACAGGTGCTGGCCACCCCCTCCACTGTTCAGACACATGTACTTTCCCTCTCCCTCCCTTGCTCACGTGAACCTTGAGGAAGCAGGCCCTACCCTAAGCTCCCTTCACCCGTGCTAAGGTGTGGCTTCCTTCCCTGATGGGCTCTAGGCTAGCTGCCCCTAACCACTTCCTGTGGCTCTTCTATTCTGAGAGCTGCTGACCTTTTTGGGCAGCCCAGCCTTCACCTCCTCGGGGCCTGGAGCGGAGGCCCAAATGAGACTCCTCTCCTCATTAGCCAGGAGGTCCTGGGCATGCCGCTGAAACCCTCTGCACTCCAGGCTCATCTGCTGTAACCCAAGGGTACTAATAGAACGGTCTCCTAGGATCTCATGAAATAATCCCTGAGGAGGGTTTAACACATTGCCTAGCACATCCCAGATGCCCCACAAATACAAAATATTCCCCTGTTCCCAACTATGTCTCTTGATATAGAAGGGACATGACTTATCACAAGCAGCCCCTTCATTTAATAGGTATTAATCATCTACTGTGTACCAGGTATTGTGCTAGGGGCGGTGGGCTAACAGCAGTAAATAAGTCCCTGTCCTTGTTTCATGGGTCTCACCACTGCCTCTCTCTACCTTTCACTGGCTCTCCTGCCTCTGGGTTGGAACTGTCCCCTCCCCTATGGGGATAGGTCAGTAACATGGGAGCGATACTGTGGTTGTTGCCGGAGGGTTCCATGACTTTCTCACCTCCACAGGTGTTGGCACCATCAGCTCCATGGGTGTCACTTTCTCCCTGGCCTTAGAAGAGCCAGAGTCCAGCCAGGAACCAGAGGGAGACCTGCAGAGGACGGAGTTGAGTTCTGAAGGGCTTGTGTCATCCCGGTGAGTGACAGGAGCAAGAGTGAGCCCTGCCTGTAGGAGGTGGGGGACCAGGAGTCCTAAGTGAAGGAGCCCCCCTAGAGTGGTAGTATGACTGACCTCACTGCTCCCAAGTCCTTGGAGGGCTCCCAGACTTGCATCTAACTATGGCACCCCAGTGGTCCTCTCTCAAACATTTCCAGTTCAGTGTGCTAGATTATTCATTCACCAAACATTCACTGAATGGCCTCAGGCTCCAAGTGCTCTGCTTGGCCAGCCAGTCCCAGCCTTTAAGGTGCCCCAGGGTAGGACAACCTGTCTGAGAGGACTTGCTCTTCTTGGCTCTGAGCTTGGAGACAACCAGATGCTGAGGAGACAACTAGGCATTCACATTTCTATTCTTCTTTAGCATCATGTCTGAGTCCTTGCTCTGGGGCTTCAAAGCCTTGGTGAGCCAGTCCTATAGCCAGGGCCTTCTCTTCTCTGCTATGCACCATTCCTGGTGAAATGTGATCCAAAGCTTCACATGCCACTGAAAGCCAAGTCTCCATCTCCAGCTGTGTGCTCCCCCAAATCCAGACCTGTGCATCCAGTTTCCCCTGACGTGTCCGCTAGGGTGTCTGAGAGCCTAGCTGAATTCTCAGTCTCTCTGACAAAAAATGCTTACCCCAGGTCCTCTTCCCAGTGAACACACCACCACCTCACAGTGCTCACACCCAGATCTGGATGTCATCTTGGCTGCCCCCTCTTCCCTTTTTCCAACTCCAACCCACTGGCCAGTCTTCTCCAGCTCCAGACCCACTGTATTGCATTTTTCCTGGTCTAAGCTGCCTTACTGCTTTCTGTGCAACTCTAACAACCCTGCTGCTCTCTTCCTTCCCTCTTGCTCCCTCTAGTTCCTTCTCTACACAATAGTCAAAGATATCTTGTGAAAACTTTAATTCAATGATTTCATTTCTCCTACTAAAACCCCTCCTGGTTTTTCCTTTAGCTTGAAATGGAATTCAAACCTTTTACTTTGGCTTATGAGTTCAGTATAATCTGTCCCCAGCCTGCCTATCTGACCTCACCTGGTGCCTCTTGCCCCTTACTCGTGACATCCAAGTCCTAGTGGCCTGGCCCTGCTATGTTCCTGAATGTACCGAGCCTCTTCCTCCCCTTGAGCTTCATTGCCAGCTGTTTCTTCTCCCTGAAACTCTCACTTCAGGCTTGGTAGGACTGACTTCTTGCTATTCAACTCTCAGTTTAAATATCATCTCCTTAGAGAGGCCTTCCCTGGCCACCCTCTCTCTGCTTAACCCTACTCAGCAGTCATGATGGTTTCTCTCCTTTGTTTCCTAGTCTGCTGTTTATATGCCTCCCAAGAGTAAGGACCTTGTTTGTCTGTTTACCACTACCACTTATCTCAGTCATTTGCCACATGTTCCAGTGACTATGAGAGCCCTAGAAGAGCTTCTTACAGAATAGTGAATGAGCAAATGAATGGATGAGTGGTTGGGCGAACCCACAGTTGAGTGTGATACCAAGGGTCTTGTCTGAGCTGTTCTCTCTAAAAGTTACCCAAGCAGAGTGTCCTGCAGAAGTCCACTTGGCCTTTCTTTCTGCAATCTGGCTGTTTCTTATTTGGCAAGGCATTGGTGCTGGCCCATCTGGGGCCCACAGGGCCCTAAGGTGAAGTCCGCCCTTGCCTCCGCAGGCCTCTCCCCCAACCTCATGTTCACCCTTGCATTTCAGAGCACTACTGGGGGTCAGTGCAAGACCTGTCCCACCCTCAGCTGCCCCTTCTGACAGGAACAAGAAAACCAGCAGCAGCATCGCCACCCTGGGGCTGAAAAAGTTCTTCTTGGCCCTGAGCCAGGGCACACGACCCAAGTTGGGCAAATCCCGCAGCTACAGTGTGGAGCAGCTGCAGCCCCCTGCGCCTGGCTTGGCTTCACACACCAGCACCCCCAAAGTGAAGAGAGCCCCATCGTTACAATCCCTGCATCTGGTGAGTCCTAAGGGCCCAGCCAAGGGCTGTGTGAAGCCAGTGGTGGTGTAGCCACCACTGAATGATAGGTGAAAGGAGAAATGAAGTGCTGAGGAGGCCACCCAAGGAGGCCAAGGTGGAGAAGGGGAGGTTCCTGCCTCCCCACAGTTGATCCCTGAGACTCCGATCCCCAGGACACAGTGGGGGTAGCAGCATCCCACACTTCCCCCCAGCTGCCTGGCCTGGACTCATCCTAGATGCCTTCCTCTCCCCTGCCCTCAATTCTGTCACCTCTGCCAAGACCTGGACTCTACTGCCTGGTCATTCTAGAACCTTCTTCTTGGCCACTGTGACTCTTCTTAGTCTAGCACAAATCATTTCACACCTGGATTACATCAAAGACCTCCAGACTGGCATTCCTGCCCATCTTTCTCCACTGGCTTCCAGTGGGGTCCTTCTGATATGCAAATCTGGCCTTGCCACTCCCTTGCTTAACGAGGGCCATTGGTTCCTTATCGCCCTCAGGATAAAGTTCAAATCACTTGACATTGCCAAAGAGTTTCTGTGATCTGACTGCTTTCATCTTTTATCACTGTTTCTAACACTCCATCCCACCTGCCCTTGACCTTGAAGTTCTGTAATGAAGGCCTGAACACACACTGTCTAACTTTCAGCCTTCGTCTGAAATGTTTCTCCCACCTTCTCTACCTGCTAATGTCTGCTCATCTGTGGACACCTCAGCCACTGCCTCCCCCAGGAAGCCACTTCCTCCCCTTCCTTGGGCTGAGCTGAGGGGGCCTCTGCTCTGTGTTCCTATCTCATCCTGGGCTACCCTCCCTGGTGGAACTTGCACATAGTATTTTAATTGATTTTTATTTGTCTCCCCTCACTGGAGTGTGACTTCTTTGAGGCAACACCACTTGATCTTTATATTCTCAGCATTTAGTACAATGCTGCACAGTGAGTGAGGGAACGGGTGAGTGCAGGGCCGCCTGCTGAGCTCTCCCTCCCCATGTGCTAGAGGATGAACCAGCAGCAGCTCACTGCCTCTCAACTAGGTGTCTGAAAACCCTGTTCTGTTCTAGGTGTTGCCAGGTATTATGCGTGTTCTAGTCCCTGTTCTCCTCACTGGGCAGGAGGAGGCAGGTGATTATGGTTTGCAGTACTGGAGCCTTTTATTTTCAGGCTGAATGAAAATTCCATTTCAGTCTGGCACCAGGAACACTACCTGGTACGTGGTCAGTGTTCAATAAGTATTTGCTGGGTGACTGAATGGAGGGCAAGGGAACAGCAAGACAGCCGTAAGCGGGGAGGGGGTCCTAGAGTGACCCTGTGCTCCAGGAATTCACTTTGCCCATGAAGTTAGATTTGTCCCCTGTGTATCTGAGCCAGGATGCCCAGGTATGTTGCCCTCAGAGCTCTGGTCTCTGTAAAGCCCTCAAGGGAAGTAACAACGACGTTAGTGTGGTACAGGTATTGTGGGCAATGTAAGCCAAGTGGGCAAAGAGAGAGTGAGCTGGGGAGAAAGGGCGGGAACTAGTGCAGGGCGGACTGAGCAGTAGAAAAAAATATTCAAGAACTGGAAAAAGAAGATAAAAGAAGAATCCGTCTCACCCAGAACCATTCATGACGTAGCTCAGAGTGGACGACTTCCTGTGAGACTTGTGCCACCAGGCGTGTGGGGTAAGAGGTGGGCGGATGCTGCAGTGGCTGGTTTTCCATTTGCCCCCCTGAGTGGGCAGCACCCTGTTCTCACACCCGACCACGCCTGATGCTCCCACACCCTCCAGTGGCTGTGGCTCTTTCCCTTTGAACCTGCGTCTGGAAGGCTGTCCTCCCAAGGGAACGCCTGCTTGTCCTTTGGGTGTGAGTTAACGTGACTTCTCCCAGGAAACCTTCTTGAACTCTGATACAAGTCAACCCATGCCCCTTAAGTTTCTTGATAATATGCCTTATTTCTCTGGGGCATGGATGCTAAATGTAATAAATGTCTGTAACATTCCTCTAAAAGTCTGCTTCTCCCTGCCTCTGCCTCCATCACTCCCACCCCCCACCTTCAGAATGGCCTCCTCACTGGATCAATTTCTAGAACACAGATCAGATCTTGTAACTTTTCTGATGAGCATCACTCAGGGGCTCCTTAGCAGGCCATATAAGGACCTTCAGGGCTGGCCCCTTGCTCCAGCTCCTCTCCCATCACCTCTGCAGCCTAGCCACCGGATCATGAGTATGACCCAGAACCTACCATTGCTTCCTCTCGTCTCTCCATGTCTTTGCACCTGATGTTTCTTCTGTCTGGAGCACTCTACCTTTGCCTTCACCTGGAGAGTTTGTGCTTCAAGCCTCACGCAGGTGTCAGCTCCTCTAGTGTCCCCAAACCTCCTAAGCCAAACAGAATCTCTTTCTGCTTCCCTGCACATCGTCTGCACTTTCAGCCAAGCACTTACAACTGCATTTTAACTTACATTTGCCCCACACCCACCACTGAGAGAACTCATCGAGGGACGTTTGTCTTTTCCATCTTTTTATTCACAATCGTTTAAGGTGCACACTTAGATAAAAAATTTTTAATGTAACTGATCATAAAAGGGATACTAAAGAATCACACAAAACAATATTTAAGATTTTAACTTTAAAATTGTTTGTTATTCTATAATTAATTTGCTTTCACTTTTTTTCTTAACAAGAAAATTAGATTTTCTTAATAAGTGAGATAGTGTTATAGTTCTAAGCTATTTCAGCCAAGAAACCCAAAACCTTGAGGCTTCGGGTCATATCACCTGTGTAGCCCCATCTACTTGAGTAAATTATGGTGATTCCTGTTAAGCACTTTGAAGCAGTGACAAAAACTCCCACGGTTACTTTGACAGACGGCCCTCAGGTTCCTGGTTGATGCCAAGTCTCTGTCAACCCCTTGCCAGGTGGCTTTTCTCACCTGCAATATTGTACCTTTACCACTAGGTGTCACCCTCTCACCAACATCGGAAAGCTGCCTCCTTTCAGAACCTCCATTCTTTGCTGAGTGGCAAGGTGGACCGGTCCAGTCTGTACCTGGTAGGGGAACCAGGGGACCACAGTGAATCTGGCAGGTGAGAGTGAGCAAGTGGGCAAGTGGTTTGGAGGGCAAACTAAGAATGGACAGTGGAGCTATAAGCTTAGCTCCTTGCCTCAGCAGCTTGGCCCTGAATTGGATCCCATTAAGAGAAAGGGAGGCCGATTATCTGAGCCTCAGGTGCCACAGGAATTTTGGAGCCCACACCACATGCCCTGTGTGACTGAGCTCTGAGAAGGTGTGGGGTGCTGGAAGGGGTGGAGTTGGAAGGTTTGATTCCTCCATCCCTCTGCTGTCTGATGACATCTTGAAATCAGAATGTTCAGAGAACTTCCTTAGCCCAGCTAAAGATCAAATTAAAGATCCAGAGACAGGGACCCCAAAAGAGGCCCTTGACCTGTGACCCTGCCTGGAGAAGTCCCATCCTCTCTGATGAGACCCTCTAGGTTAGGTGCTCTAGAGCTCCATGGAGGGATTTTGGGGTATCCATTAACTCCTGGAAATTTTACATAAAATTATAGCTTTCATCAGGTTCTCAGAGAACTCTCTGCACCTGAAAAGATTAAAAACTATTGTTCTTGGGCTGGGGGCTTCTGGTTCAATAGCAGGCCCTGAGGAGCTTCAGACAGCTGTGGGAACATGCCAGTCTCAGCCCTAGCAGGCTCTTTAAGCTGGAGCCCCAGCCTTCAGTGCCACCAGTGGAGAGGCAACAGTCATCTATAAGCCAAGGGGCTGGAACCCAGTGCTTACCCTCTTTGCCCTCACTCTATCTCTGGTCCCCTTGCAGGTTAAGCAAGCCCCCACCCCGTCGTGCACTCAGCGTGGAGGATGTGGGTGCCCCCAGCCTGGCTCGCACAGTGGGCTGCGTGGTGGAGGTATTCCCAGATGGCACAAGCCAGCTGCAGCTACAACGCTCCCCAGAGGGCACTTTTGGCTTCTGTGTGGCCTCTGGGAATGGGCGCCGGGACTCAGGTATGCTCCCTCTGTTTTCTGGGCTCCAAAGCCCTGGGACCTTAGCAAACCACACTGGTGCTTTTTGGCTGTGGTCAGAGGCTTTTTCTGGTTTTTGGCTGAGCTGTGGAGCTCCATGCTCAGAGAACCTCTTATGGAAAGAGCAAGGATGGGAGTTCTCCCCACAGGGGCTCTTTCTGAAGAGACAAGGTATGGGGCTGCTGGACAGGGTAGCTATTGACAGGCTTGACCCCACTGTCCCTCTGCTGTCTGATGACATTCTTGAAATCAGAGTCTTGAAGGCCAACTTCATTGGAGAGCCAGAGGGAGACTGTTTGTGCATGTCAGTTCTCAGAGGCAATCCCTTTGATGTGGTCGATGTGTTTAAACGGTTCCCTCCTCCAGCTGCTGAGTGTGTCTGGGCACGTGGAGTGTGCCTGCCTGTCTGTGCATCCAGGTCCCTCCCTCAGTGCTGGCTCATGAAAGTTATGTTCACAGGCATCCTGAGTCCAAGACCCTGGGAGAGTCTGAAGGAGTCTTCAGTGATGTACAGAAAAAAGTGGCTCTTTTCCTCACTTTCCTCTTCAGAAAGAGAATGTATTTGGGGAGCAGAACTCCAGATAGGGATGGCTTCATCTGTCAGTGTGAGATCATACACTACCGGGCATGTGCTCTGCCCCACATCCTTCCTTAAAGTCCCTTTAGGCCCCTTTGCAGTCAGTGGAGCCCCTCCCCCATCACCTGTCATGGAGTTCTGATAGGCAGGGAGGGGTCTGTAGTCACCAAGGGCTCCTTGGGCTCTACCCTGGCCTGCTCCCCAAGCCACCCCTCTCCTGGGTTGGTGAGAGCTCTTCCCTGTCCTGCCCAGGTGGTGTCCTGTCCCTGCTGCTGCAGCTGGCCATTGGATGTCATGGAGATCCCCATGCCTGTGGAACAGGGCCTCCTTGCCACAGGCCATCCTCCAGCAGCCAAGAGTCCCTTTTCCTGGGCCTCAGAGCGGCTGTGGGCTGGGGTTGGTTCTCATTCCCCACTAAAACATCAAGATGCTTGTGCTACCTCGCTGGCTACCACATCCAATTGTATACAAGCATGAGAGAACAGCAGGCTTCACCTTCTGCTTCTAATACAACAGAGAGAGCATGTATCCTTAACAAAGGCCATGTCCAGCAGACAATAAATGCCTACAATAGCAGTCTCTCTGTCATATTTTTGTCATGACTTCCAGTTGTAAAACCTACCCCATAGTCTCCCCCAAATGGCTGGCATGACATCAGTGTCTGGTCTGGCTCTGGCTGCATTCTTTTGGGTTTTCTCAACACTCACCACCTTGTGTCCTGCTCTACAGCAGCCATTTCTGCAGGCTCCACCCCTCCCCACCTTACCTGTCTTTTTCCAACCCACAGACAGGCAGGCGAGCAGTTCAAACACTCAGATGGAAGAGGCAGAAAATAGAGCAAGGGCTGGGAGAGAAGCCCAAGCAGTCAGGATGACAGATATACCTTGTCAGGAGGAAGAGAGCCTCGCAGGAAAGACTCAAGGTGGCTGAGAAGCACCGAAAGGGAGCTCCCCAACTCAGACCAGGGACAGGAAACGTCAAAGGATTGAATTTGCTAAACCCAGCGCTACAAACCGTCAGGTGCCTTGGAGGAGATTTCAGTGCACATTCAAACCCAAATTTCAGAGGGTAGGCTCTGAAAATCTTGACTGTTGGGGCCAAAAGTTGGGCTGAGTAGACCAGAGAAATCACTTCCCACTGGTCCAAGACGTGTTAAATGGCTTCAGGTCAGAAACAGGAACCGGACAAGATGCCCTTCTGAGTCCCCTCTAAGGAAGCTGATTCTAGGAAGAGGAGCTGGGGAGGGAGGCCCAGGCAGCTGTCCAGTGTGGAGGGAGCTGGCCAGTCGAGCCTAGGCACCGGGAGGACGCTGAGGTGGTACTAAGCCGCCTCCCATGAGTTCTGCAGGGGTCGGCCACACAAGGTTTGTCCCCTGCAGTTCTCCAGCAACTTAGGCTGGTGCTCTCAGCCACCTTTGTTCACCAGGTTTCCCTGGAGGAGCCTGCACCTCCTCTAATCTCAGGTGGAAGCAGCTGAAGGGGTTTGGAAGGTTTTCAGCAGAAGTTTTGGTGAGAGGAGCTCCCTCCTCCAGACTCTTCTACACGGTGTGGCCAGGAGAAGCCAGGAACACCCAGCATAGCCAGCCCTGAGGCCCCTCAGAGCTTGTCCCACCAACGCAGGTTCCCTGAGTTGGACCCAGGGAAGGAGCAGAAGCCATTTCTCCCCAGGCTCACGCTGCACTTTAGAGACATAGGAATGGTCCTACTGGCCAAGCAGAGCCTCTTGGGGGTGGTGGGGGTAAGAGTGCATGTGAAGAAGGGAAAAGTGAGCCACCATGGCTTTAAATATGGGGGTAGGGGTTTTATGTTTCTGGGCTTTTGCCCAGAGGCCCCCAAGTTCCAAGTGAGGAACTATACCTGAGGAAGACTGGGGTCAGGGCTTGCCCTAGACAATACCACTAAGCAAACCAGGCTTGGACTGGGCCTCAGCTACTTCAGTGATGCCTTCCCCTCACTCCAGCGACTTGAGGGCAGCAATGGAACTTGTTTGTGAGTGCCACCTAGCTCAGTGCCGGACACGTCGTAGGTCTTCTTCCTAATGTTTAAACATTGTTTTCCTATTCTAAAATCAAAGCTCATCTCAGAAAAAGCTAAGATTAGCTCATTCACAGTGGGGTATATATGAATAATTACAGCTGAAAGCATTATTTGTACCAGGGGCATTTTAAAAGAGGAGATGGAGAAGTGAAGTTATACTATGGAGGTGGGCACACTATGTTTATGTATAAAGCCAGTTTTAGTTTTGAATGGGAATAATGGGTATGGGTGTGTGTGTGTGTGAAGTGCCCTGTATGAGCACCTGCACCTTCCCCACCCCCACCCCTCAACAGCATCCACCTGGTCAGCATGCCAGAGATGCATGTCTTCAATTTCACTGGTTAAGTTTTCCCATTTTCCTTTGCAGGCTTCTACGTGCAGGAGATGGCTGACGCGAGCACGGCCAAGCTGTACTCAGGGCTGCTGGGGGTGGGGGATGAGATCCTTGAGGTAAATGGGGCCAAGGTTGCAGGGCTGGGATTGGCTCACATTAAGGAGCTCCTGACCCATGCAGAGAGCTTGTCACTCCGTGTGCTGAGGCAGAGGCCTATCCCACGGTGACTCAGAGGAGCTTTGGTCCCCTTTGTCACCCCCTTGGAAGCCATGAAGTGTCCCCTGGGGTGGAGGACACACTGGGAATGCACTGCACAAAGCTGCTTGGAAGAGCAAGGTGGCGTGGAATGCCTTGGGCTGTGGCCAGGCTTTTGTGATTAACCATCCTAGGGAGAGGGAAGGAGCCTATTTATACATTTTTGTTTAAGGAGGTAATTTATGCAAAACAAGAAAAAGAAAACATGGTGCCCATGCTTGAGGTGGTGTCAACAGCTTCCTGCACCTTCGTTGGCAGGAGGAGGAAGAGATACATTGAATCATCCAATTGGTCCCTGAGTGTTGCCTCACCTCCAGGTCTCCCATCCCACTCCTTGTCAAGGGTTCCTGCAGCTTCCAACACTCCAGAACCAAAGAAACTGCTGGGCCATTTTGGCTTGGAGCCTACCTTTTTCAGTCTCATTTCTCCCAGCTCCCATTCCACGCCTTTATTTTTTCCCCAGAAATGGGCAAAGTGTCCTAGAGTAACAGCCTTGTAGCCATTGACCACATATTCCAAACAAAAAATTGGGATATGTGGTCTGGTGTGAGAATATCTGGGAGATGTGATCTGGTAGCCAGAATATTAAGAGTTTTTTGTGATACATAAGATTGAAGGGGAAACAATGAAACCGAGACCAATTTCAGGAAAGTACAGCTGTGGCCAGTGAGACTGGCCAGATCAGCCCCATCCCCACTGCTTTGCTTCTGCCTCTACCCAGAGTAGGTTGGAGCTACTGGGGCCTCGCCAGGAGGGCGTCTGTCTTCCTTCTTCTCTTGGGCTTGGATATTGGGCTGCAGCTAGTGCCAGGCAATCCCAGCCACAAGCTCTCTGTCCAGACTCCCTGACAGCAACTGCAGATAGGCCAACCAGCAAGATGGCAGGGCACAGGCCAGGGGGATGGACTGTCTCACCTGGTTGCTTACCCCCTCTAGGCCTGAACACTGCTCAAAGGGTTAGGACTCTGGGAGTGGATGGCCATGTGTCAGTTTTAACTTATTAAAAAAAGCAAAGCTGAAGCTTCTATCCTGAGTTGCTATTTTCTGGACTGGACACGCACTCACTAGCCATAGGCAGAGGCCTGAGGTTAGGGAGGAGGAGAGAGGACAGAGGCACAGCAGTGGGCTGTGTTGGGCATGCCAGAGAGGAAGGCTGGGAAGACACCTGGGGTTGGGGCGACAGAAGCCTCCAGAGACAGTCCTAGGGCTGGGAGAGGAGCCCTGGCTACTGCATTTATGAGCAGGAGACGGAATGAAGCTAAGGGGCCTTAAATAGGTGCCACTGGGGAGTGAAGTGGGCAGCTCAGAGCTGTTTTAGAACTTGGCTGGATGCAGATTATGGTTAAAAACAAACACAGCCTTCGGCAGAATTGAGTTAAAATGAGTGTTAAGCAGCTTTCCCGAAGCGAAGTCACTGAAGGAGGCATGTGGCCTAAAAGAAAGATGATGAGAGGAGGGGGCAGCAGTCTTGTGGAGTGTGTGCGTTCTCCCATTCTAGGTTATTGTGCACAGGAGTCTGTTAAAACCCCTCCTTACTGACCCTGGAGGCCAGGGGGTGAGGAGGCTCCGGGAGCCCCACAGCACAGCAGGATGGGGACGCTGGGCCAACCTGGGGTGGGAGATGAAGGAAGAATGGGAAGGTTCTAGCAGGTGAGCAGACAGGCCAAGGGAGTAAGTACTTGGGCCTTCAGCGTATGAAGAGGGAACTGGGATATCTCACAGATCAACCTGGGGCCCCCAAAGTGTAGAAACAGCCCTACATAGCAGGAAACTACCGGCACAGGGAAACCCTGGTGGCTCCTGTACCCCAATTCCTGGCCTTGAGATATTGACCCAAAAAGTATACCTTCCAAAAAGGAATCCCTGTGGTTAATAGAACCTAAATTCATAATCGGGGCCTACCAGCCATTGTTTACAGGGGCCTGTCATACCCGCTGCATATCAGAGACAAGCCACAGGCTTTTCTGTGCCCAGCCGACTGCATTATTTTTGTCGGCTGAGCCAAACCTTATAAAGGAGTTCCTGGAATTGTATTTCAACCAATGGGCTGAGACCTGCCCTGTCCAATCAGAACTGCACAGCTATAGCCTCATTTGCATCTCTATTGACCAATCAGAGCAGCTCCATAATGACCAATCAGAACATATGATTTGGACCAATCAGGATAGTGCTATTTGGACTAATCAGGTTGTGTAAACTTGGATTCCTCATTTGCATAGAAATGGACCAATCAGAGACTAGGGCTACGTTTTCTATAAAAGCGGGACTCCAGTTAGTGTTATAGCCACTTTTATTTTCTAGCCGCTTGCATTACCCTGCTTTTGGAACTGTTCTCGTGTATGAGGTTTCTCCTTTTTCCTCACTCCTGGCCGCCGTAGGTTGGTAGCAGCAAACTTTTGTTGACAGAGGTCATGAAACTTTGAGGAAATTCCGGGTTGAAACAGCTTCTAGGGACGCAAAGCGCCTCTTTTCCCTGTAGGGTGAGGACAACTTGCCTCTCCAGCCCCAGGTGGAAAGAAACGGAAATGGGGGCTCTTGGGGCTGGGGCAGGGCAGGGAAAGGTCTCTAAGGAGCTCTGAGCGTCTGCATCTGTACGTCCCAGGTCGGAGGCCCAGCTCTTGACACATTTAGTTCTTAAAGTAGTCGGCTGGGGTGTCCTGGAGAACCAAGCTCAATAATAACAGGGAGTTCAGGCCCGGCCGGGGACGCAGGGCCCGCTTTTTCTATTACAGCTCCCCCCCCCATGCCAGAAAAGCCTTTTTGGAAGGGCATGGAGAGGGGTGAAAGGGGGAAAATAGGGGATAAAGGGGAAGGGGTAGGAGGGGGGAAAGAAGGGGAGGCGCTCTGGACTGTGGCGCAGGCCTGTGTTGCTCTGATTCCGGGAAGGCAGCGGGCACTCTGCCTGGGGTAAAGCGGTGCCAGGGCCACGTCTTGCCTGGGTGGGGGGGCCCTTCTGACCTGCCTCATCGCTGCTGCCTAGGGCCCACCCGCAGGACCCTCAGCACCCTCACTTAGAAGTAGGAGCCCCGCCGTGTGCCAGGCAGGAGCTCAGGTTGCTGAGCAAGACGGGTGGGCCTCCAGCTGCCGGAATCTAGGACAGACGCTCAGCCGCTGCCGCCGGGCCGCGCGTGTGCACCCGCCAAGCTGGCACCTTGCGCACGTGGGGCAAGGAGCCCGAGGGTGGTCAGGGGTCAGCTGGGGTAGGGAGGCTTACGGGGAGGTGAGCCCACGCAGGGTTTTGTAAAATGGGTGGGAACTAGCAAGAAGGGGAGGGAAATGACGGTCGCGCACAGAAAATGAATGGCAGGTGCAAAGGTGTAGCCCTTTTCTGTGTGGCGCCAATGGCCTGTGGCAGTTTAATGGTATCCTTTACCATTAAGCTGCTA